AGACGCTGCGCCAATCCGCCTGTCGATCTCCCGCTCCCTTCATCCCCCATTCGTGAACAACATCCCCAGATACTTAAAATCCTCCACTTGAGGCAGGACGACCCCCCTGACCCGGAGAAGGCACTCTACCCCTTTCTGGCTCAAGACCATGGCCTCGGATTTGGAGGCACTGAGCCTCATCCCGACCGCTTCTCACTCAGCCGCGAACCGCTCCAGTGAGAGCTGCAGATCTCGTTCCGATGAAGCAAACAGGACCACATCATCCGCAAAAAGCAGAGATGCGATCCTAAGYCCACCAAAACGGATCCCCTCAACACCTCGGCTGCGCCTAAAAATTCTGTCCATGAAAGTAATGAACAGAATCGGTGACAAAGGGCAGCCTTGGCGGAGTCCAACTCTCACCGGAAACGAGCCCGACTTACTGCCGGCAATGCGGACCAGACTTTTCTTTATTTATCCTTTGTATTTTCTTTATTTGCTATATTTTATGCTTAAAGCACCTTTACACCAAAGCAAATTCCTAGTCCGTGAATCCTGTTCATTGACAATGGTACTAAAACTGATTCTGATCATCTCTTACATAAAGCTCATATTATTACAAAGTAAACAAACTGTGTTCAGAAGATAAAACTCACCATTTGTGCTGTTCGGGTTTGGACTCTCTCCTCTGGACTTCCCTCACGCATTTTCTGAGTAAAAAGTATGAAAAACAAACAAACATGACAATATAGTGACATGCTTCTTTTTAAAGCTTAGAAGAAACGAGTCACTCACTCTCCGCTCCTCAGCAAACATTTGTCGATTCTCTGGTGAAGCGTACACAGCAAGGCCCTGAGGCAGAAGTTTGTTTCGACCAAAAGACTTTTTCACAAACACAGTGTCACCTCTCTCGCCAAGTTCTGTCAGTTTGATCAAATAAGGCACAAGAAGACGGTTTCAAGACGTTCYGAGGATTTTAGGCTTTTCACAGACGTGATGCAGATACTGACTTTTTACAGGCTGAGTCAGGATGAGCTCCAGTTCCACCCTGGGAGCACGTTTGAGGTCTTCGACCAGTCTGTAGATTCTGTGTCTTCGAGGATGAAGCTTCGGTGCACGGCCCAGTTTAGACAGAGGGACCTSCCACATTCGCTCTACGATAACCGTGTGCTGAAAAATCATAATTTAATGAGACAATTTAACTTTATGTCATCAAAACGTAGAAATTACAACATTCAGAGAGAAGCAGATATAAAGCTTCAGTTTGTGTTCACTACACAAGTTTCCTATCAGTGTCCTTCAGTCAAAGAAAACATTACATTTGAGAAAGTTTACAAGGACTTAGATTTGAAGACGTCATTAACGTTAAAAATTATCATACAGTATTAAGCACAGAATAAATGAAGAAATGCAATTTCATTTTACTAACTGAACGCAGCATAACGTAATAAGATAAGAACTGGGTACCAAGTTCATTTTTGTCGTTACATTTTGCTGTAATTTTTAAAATATGATTAGTTTGAAATTCCATGATGAAATACTCTGTTTTMATGGCCCATTTTTAATAAATTGTATTCTATTATAAAGCTGTGCAGAAGTCTGAGTCATCCTACATTACTTTATCGATAAAAGCCTGGCATATATAAACCTTAGAAAAAAGCATCTAGATGAATAGTTTTTGTGGTTTTGGCTTACTAATTTTGTTCTTTGACATTTATAGCTGCCTTTTTACGTATTCTCAGTCAAAAAATTTAACAACTAAAGCAGTGGTTCCCAACCTTTTTAGACTTGCGTACCCCCTGAGTCATTTTGTCATCCCACTAGTACCCTTTCAGTCAAACGTGATGATTCTTCAAACCTAAGATGTACTACAATTGATTATTAAATGAAAACTATTTATTTAACCCCCTAGAACGTTTAGTTCTCATGCATTTAATTATTTTTTAACTCAAATTAAACATGAAAGTAAAAATGTTGCCTTGAAAGTAAATAATTAAATGAATAAACAAACCAGATAGTAGAAAATAGCAGTGTCCAAAATACATCAGAAACTCACCCAAATGAGCAAATTCTGTGAGATTCCACTTTTTATACCAGATTCCATTTTGTGTTAATTCCATGTTTCCGACTGCAATTTGCGGAAATCATAGGGCCCTACATACAGCGGGTAAAATAAGTATTGAACACGTCACCATTTTTCTCAGTAAATATATTACTAGAGGTGCTAATG